CCCCAGATGGAATTTCTTTCCCCAAGTAGGTTAATCTCATAAGAGCAGACATTAGGCTGTTAGTGTAGGACCTGCCAAAGATGGGGTACATTGACGTTGTGGCAGGCTTATGCACTGTATGATCATATAATGTAACTAAACCCCCATTATTTTTGCCTAGATTAGGTGTTTTTAAAAAAAACAAATAAAATCTTTCAACATTGAAGTTGCTGTTTAGTGGATAGGTGAGTGCGCTGGATCTTGTGTATTGTATTATTTGGCCCCCAGCAGCACCCCCATTTATGCATGTTAAGGTGAGTGCAGCCAACCCCCTCTTGTTTTATATATATTTGGGAGTCTAGCCAACTCCTTGGTTTTGCACCCCTCCCTGTCACAGGTGCCTCATCCCAGGGCCCTATTTAGCCTTGTACTGCAGAGAGCCCCAGATGGAATTTCTTTCCCCAAGTAGGTTAATCTCATAAGAGCAGACATTAGGCTGTTAGTGTAGGACCTGCCAAAGATGGGGTACATTGACGTTGTGGCAGGCTTATGCACTGTATGATCATATAATGTAACTAAACCCCCATTATTTTTGCCTAGATTAGGTGTTTTTAAAAAAAACAAATAAAATCTTTCAACATTGAAGTTGCTGTTTAGTGGATAGGTGAGTGCGCTGGATCTTGTGTATTGTATTATTTGGCCCCCAGCAGCACCCCCATTTATGCATGTTAAGGTGAGTGCAGCCAACCCCCTCTTGTTTTATATATATTTGGGAGTCTAGCCAACTCCTTGGTTTTGCACCCCTCCCTGTCACAGGTGCCTCATCCCAGGGCCCTATTTAGCCTTGTACTGCAGAGAGCCCCAGATGGAATTTCTTTCCCCAAGTAGGTTAATCTCATAAGAGCAGACATTAGGCTGTTAGTGTAGGACCTGCCAAAGATGGGGTACATTGACGTTGTGGCAGGCTTATGCACTGTATGATCATATAATGTAACTAAACCCCCATTATTTTTGCCTAGATTAGGTGTTTTTAAAAAAAACAATAAAATCTTTCAACATTGAAGTTGCTGTTTAGTGGATAGGTGAGTGCGCTGGATCTTGTGTATTGTATATTTATAGCAGTATATTAAATTTAGAAGAGTATTCGTTATAAAGAAAACAAAAAATTTTTTATACATGGTACAATCAATTTCATAAACATTAAAATTGTCTATGTATTTCCTCTTTAAATCCAAAATGTAAAACTGAGCCTAACATTTATTTTTGCATAAATTGTGCACTTTAGATGTAATTTCAGGAAAATCACAGCTTAATGAATACAAAGTTTAATCTTGAACAGCAGAATATTTTAATTTTATGCTTAATAAACCAAAATACCAAAGAATCTGGTTTGTGTGTTTGTATGGAGGATATTCAGTTTCTGATGCTGGTATGTTTGCAGAATTGTTTCAAAAAAAGGGGAACCTTTTCATATACGGTTCCTCATGGACATTATTGTCTGTCACACATTAGGGGATTTGACTATCAAATATGTAGATTTTGAAAGGAATGATGTGTCATCTTATAAGTAATTTAAAATATTGCTCTGGTAAGATCCGGTAAATCAAGTCTTAGGAACCGTCCTCCAAGTCTGAGCCACAGACCATGTTCCCATTTTTTATATATATATATTCCAAATTCAGGTGACCCACAATCCCCATTAGAAAAGACAGAGATGGATAAGGAGCTAGATGTACTGTTCAGGAACGTTACTTGAAGATGTTTAGAGACATATACTAAATAAGGAGTTTTAGTGAATTCACCAGAAAATTGACAAAATAGCTGAGCTGACAGAGATTTAATTTCTAGTTGAGCAATATATGTGGAAGCCACATTCAGAACAGTGCACATTTGGGATGAATTTAACTGAATTCCAGGTACATTCACTGCTTAACTACTTACTGTTGGAGAGTTTGCATCTAAGATTGTTAGGAAAACCTAGCCCTCCTCTTCATTTGAGAACTACAGCACATATTTAAACATACAAATAATGATAATTAATAACAGTGTTTAACCAGGAGAGGTACTACATTCAGATTACTCTGGTTTCCAAGTATGTCCTGGGGATGTTACCTTAGCCCAACATCCAGGGGATTTTGCTATATGTAGTTCCTCACAGCTAAGGGAATATATACTGATTGTCTAGAAAAAACACAGTAGTTCTGGCAGCAAATTCATTTAGACACAATGATTTTAGTCCAAATTTCATTCAATTTCATTAGAGTTTTATGAAAAAATTATTTGGGAGGTTTATCAAGTTACCCTTCTTGTGACATAGACATGATTCTATTTTGATTGACTGAGTCCTGCGTCAAAGCTCATAAGTAGTCATGTCCCGAACTGTTCGCCACGAATGGTTCGCCGCGGACTCATCATTGAGTAAACTTTGACCCTGTACCTCACAGTCAGCAGACACATTCCAGCCAATCAGCAGCAGACCCTCCCTCCCAGATCCTCCCACCTCCTGGACAGCTCACTAAGAATGCAGCTTCACAATGGATGCTGTCCAGGAGGTGGGAGGGTCTGGGAGGGAGGGTCTGCTGCTGATTGGCTGGAATGTGTCTGCTGACTGTGAGGTACAGGGTCAAGGTTTACTCAATGATGAGTCTGCGGCGAACCGTTCAGCGAACAGTTCGGGACATCACTACTCATAAGTCATTCTTGTTTCAACCATCTTGCTGTTACTATATTTTTGTGTGAACATTGTTTTTTTTTATCTCTTC